GAGTTCTTGTAATACAAAATAATTAGAGAAAGTCTAAATGCGGATCGTTGTAAAAATAGCTAGCAGGAAATTTCTTACAGGAGACTAGTCACATGAACAAAACAAACTACAGTTAAGTTTTCTGATGAGCAAATAAAAAATGTTGTTGGCTACATTTAAATCGGCTCCAATTACTGATGTTGAATTAAATGTAGAAAAAAAATAAAAGACAAAATCTAATGGATTCATTAGTTCGGAAGGTGCGCTTTTTCCCATCTGCCTATTTATAAAAAGAAAAATTTCACGATGTAAAAACTTAACTTAAACACGAGTCCAAAATATACAAAAAAAAAATTGAGATACTAAAATATTCTTCCAAATCCATAGTTTTTTTTATTCCTATACCAGATCCTCCGATCAGTGATGTTGGTAGATGTTACTGGCTTCTACCCCGAAGTTGAACTTTCGTTCCGCAAGCTTGAAATTCTGAGTGTACGATGCTGATCCCAAGTATCATAGTCATCAGTTATTAGTGGCGTTTGGGATTCGAGCAAGATGAACGGGAAACATGTGAAAATCATCAATTAGATTTCAACTCTAACGATAATTCGGCAAAGTATACCTCCATAAGAAAGCGGTAGATGGGCGCTTATATTGCATTAAACCCATCACTATCGCATGTTATATTATTATAGCTCCGAATGTTAATGTTTTAACTGTTGAAATAACTATATAGAAATATGATCTATTTATAACTAAAGCAAGATAAAGCAAGAGTTCAGCCGGTCCGGATAGCCGAGATCCCTTAGGTAGTAGTGCCTAGCAATCTCGGACCGAAGGATAGCGGGTTTAAGTTCCGCCTGGGGGAAGTTGTATTTGTGTTCGTCCTTTTACCCCTATTATCATCATATCGTGTCATCCTCACAGTTACCTTATCGTTAGACGCAATAGTGGTTGCTAATGACCTTAAAGTTAATGCGACCTTCAATAACAAAAAGAAAAAAACCCTAAGAGTTCAATACAGATATATATTTAGAGCGTTCTTCTTTCAGGTTACTATGGATATCTCGCGGCAGTTTCCTTTGTCTCGTATAGATAGTGGATGCTATCTGACAATTCCTAAAACGGCCCAAAACTATTTCTTGAGTAAAAATATCGATATTATCATTATTTACTTGTATTACCCGATTAACAACTTGTATCTAAAGATCAAATATTAATTTAGCATTCATAACAAAACAAGCATGCAATATGTTGGACTTGTAAATTCTCACTAGAATGAAGATCACACTACATTAACATCACTACACACAAATACAAAAAATACGTAACAGGACGAATGTAATCCATTATGATACGCCAATTTAGTACATATTCCATTGTATGTGAATGTACGTTGTACGTTTTTCTCTGCTTTCCAAATCTCACATGACCCGTTAAATCCTCCAAACATCTTCATTAAAATGAATTGCTAGCAGAACAAAAGGATAAGACACTACACACAGATAACTTGAAAAATGTTTTTAAATTTGAAAGTTGTATACAAGGGACTGCATACTCTTATTTACAAGTTTCATAAATTTTTAATATATTTCACCTTTATATATGATTATTTTTCTATTACAACGTATTTAATAATGCACTTCGTCTCTGGTTCATCTAATAATTCTTTAGACTCTGGGACAGAGATATTATTTCATGTGTATTAAATGTCTTAATAGAAGAGATACATTTAGTACTGAAAATAATATAAATCGACATATGAAAATCCAGGCAGAGAAAAAATGCTTCCCCGAACCCTGACTTCTGAGAGCAGCACACACGTCTCACGACTGGTGTATACATCCATATTTCCTATCTGTATAAGAAGAGGAAGGAATACACGCAGAGACTCTTATACGAAGAACCGAATTAAACACGAGTAGAACCAAAAACATGTATGTCACCCAGATAAACCGATTACCTCCAAGACCTCCTGGGACATATCGAAGAGTTTCACCAAGTGACGGTTTAGAAGCAAAGGCATAAATGCCGACAGTGTAACTTCCAATAACAAAGCAGTAGGGCGCTAAAAACTCATCGGAAACAACAGATCACTCGTCCATACAGGGAGGGAACCCAATTTCTGACGCTGCAGTCACTTCATCAACGAAATTTCAAGCGGGGCCGTATGCATTTGAGGGCGAGGCCTGGGTGATGGCATTTCTCAATCATCAAGAGGCACACAGAAGGGGACACAAAGTCGCGCTGAAAATAGCGCTTCGACATGAAAGAACATCGGAAGAGCAGGAGGAAGAGGCTTGCAGACACACAGAGAAGAGGGCACTGGAGAAGGAAGTTGATTGGAGGGAGGGGCAGGAGGGGGAGGGGAAGGGGGGCGAAAGAGCGGATGTAGCTTCCTGGCGGGCAGGTAGCACGGTGGCGCACGACCAAAGGCATGGGGAGGAGTGGGGACAGGAGCGCATCTGCGCTGTCCGCCCAGGGCAGCCGGAATGAAGTCCAGCTTTACAAGCTTGGGCTCGCAAGCGCCGACCTCGCACCAGGTGGGGAGGGCGGCTAAGACTTTGATTGCCAGGCACAAGGCTCAAAAGCTCGGATAACGCCCAACCACCCCCGCGCATCCTGCCTCACCGTCCCCGGAAGCCACCGCCCGACAAACACGATTTACATTACGGCCACTTGCTAAAGGATTACACCGGCTATCGTTACTTAAATAAGGCCGCCAGCGTCCTGGCAGCCAGTTAGGGATAGTCCCCACGATCTACCCCTCGCCAATTGCCAGGCCGGGGTCACAGTGAGAAGAGGGGTTTGGGGTGGTTTCCTTCAAATATCGCGATGTCGTACTTGAACGGAACGTTGCCATTGGGGAACGTACGCAGCAATATAAAAGTTAAAGCCAGATTCGGTTTTCCGAAACACCCCAGTCACTCAGTACGTTATCAACATACTTAACTTTGAAATTCCGTATTTTACAAGATTCATGGATTCCTGACATAATAATTAAAAGATCGATAATTAATTAGTCTAGTTTTAAAACATGCTTTTCCGAAAAAGACGGCAACGAAGTTTTACAAATGATATCAAGAAGACAAATGACAATGAATGACATTATAGTCGGCATATTTTGAATGCCAACTAAAAGTGTATAATGAAAATAAGAGTATTCACAAAAAAAGCCTTGTATGTTTAATGGGTATACAGATATATTATGAATATATATTTTTCACTAAATAACCTCATACTTTTGAAACTAACGCAAACAGATGACAAACAAAATCACCGATTAAACTGTTTAAGGTTTATTAGAACTATTATTGACAAAAACCATAATAGAAACACACATCGTCGAACTGCGTTACATCGTGTATAATTTGTCATTGAGAAGTACTGTAAAATCTGGGAGTGATTGCAATATCGCGTTTACAAATTATTGTTGTAGAGGGTGCCATTTTCTGTAATTCTTTTGTTATAAAACGCTTCATGAAGCGTACATTTTATTAAAAAAATGCATGTCCTGTAATCATAAAATAAATTTATGCAACAACAAGTTACTTGCGAATGTCGAGAGCAACGCTACATGAGAGAGAACGGCGAAGCTCGCACGACAATAAACTGCACCATATTTGCGTCTGTGCATAATTTAGGTTAGTTTTCTCGAAAGAGGATAAGTAAATGAACATCAAAATGACAAAAGCTGTTGATTCAGCGTGGTCGACGGAAGCGTGCTTCCAGATGAATATCGGAAGTACCCTCATTGGCATATCGTCCACGTCCCTTTGTATCAATCATAATGCAAGATAAGAAGCCGAAATGGTAATATAGTACACACATATTACATGACGGTCCAGCAGTTTTACGAAAAATTTAACCATGTATAACACAGTTATTTTGCGAAACGTTTTATAAAACATTTTATGCAAGTTTAATAAAACACGTTTGATAAAAAGTATAACCGTGTACAACATGAATTACACAGTTATCGACATCATCCTGTATTTAAAAAACGCAAGTCCACTACCCGCAAAGAATCCTGATAAATAACCTGTCATCCTAGTGTACAGTAGTAAATAATTTCAATAAAATTTTTGAAAGATAGAAAATTGATATGTTTCGAAAAATAAAAAAAATAATAGAATCATTGAAATTCTGTACAAGGCAAGGATAAGAACACACAGCACGTATAATACATAATACCAATAATACGTAAGTCCAAAGTAAATACACTATATTTTAGTTTTACATTCCCTGCAACACACACATTCGACAAGAAAAATTAAGTTCTGTAAGTTGGATCACGTTTCCTCTACAAGCATTTCCGACTCTTGTCATGCAAGATCAACGTTCAATTGCGGATTGTACACTGACATTTAGTGACTCAATCATTCCTGTATATATTGTGCAGCTTGATAAATAGCATATTTGGGTAATTGTAAATGTTTGTACATCTCTCGGAAACAGTCGATATAGAATTTTGAATATAAAAGATAAAAGTTAAGACATTCAATGAGTATGTGATGAAACAACTATCAGAAACTTAATACATTATACTTTAAAGACGGCTATACAGAAATTTAATAACGATTCAGTGCATACATTTTGAGTAATTGGCAAATTTGCAAAGCAATAATAAGCTGATACAAAAATGTTTCCCAATTCTCTCCAACAAAACACATTCAACTGTGGTAATATTTAATTTAAAAGACCTACAACAATAATATAATGAAAGAAAACGCTTGACGTCCGCCTCAAGCATCTAGAACGTTGTTGTTTTCACAACTGTTAGCTTCACAAGATCTACTTTTTCTGTTCAAACACGTATGCGTATTTGCACAGGTGTGAATGCTCGTGGAAGTATCACGTAACACATAATGAAAAGGTTACTACAAACCCCATGAGAGAAAAACAGAACGTTTTCCATCACGTTGAAAAAGAAATTAACATTTCGCACCCACTAAAGAATTAGATAAGATTAGAGTAAGCTTCCGTGTGTTCGCATTAAATATATCGTACGCAACTCTTACGAAAACGTGTTCGGCGTACTCGTTTCTCGCCTCGTCCTTAGAAATGTGAGTTTTAGAGCTCTGCTCGAAGGCAGGTGGGTACGCCTTGCGTGGAGCGAGTAGCTGGGCCTCTAAGGCTTTACCAAACTATCAGGCAAGGGAGCTCGACCTAGAGGGGAGTGAAGACTACCGACGGTGGACGACTTCCCCGTCCGTCAACATTTCATTCGTAAGCCAAAAATTCACATTCACCTATTTACCTAAATAACTATTTCATACAACGTCGAAAGAAATTTCGCGGTAGTAAAAAGTACAGATATATTATCTCTGAGCTTGCACGCGAGCAGATCCTAAATCTAATGAAGCAGGAAGGTGGTTGGAAAGAAATATGAGCAACAGAACAATTGTGCACACGCTTCGTCAATGGCAACGCCTTTTATAAATAGATGTGAACTGGTTATAAGATATTAAAGTATTTAGAGGTACTGCGTCTGTTCAAAGCTAGTAATCATTTTTTCACGGCTACCGAAACACATCGTGGATTTGATAAAAGACAACACAGAATTAGAAGTCTCTGGCAGCTGTACAGACGGTCACACTTAAAACAAATATGGAACACTTAATGCAAAAAAGTAAAATTTCTAATCAATGAACACAGATGTAGATCATTCAAGAAAATTTTTGAATAAAATTATTCCCGCCTCACTTTTACATTATGAACTATTATCAAAAAAAGGTTACCAGGGAGAAATCTAGAATACCACCATTAAAATCGGACACCAACACCCTCTATACAGATGAAGAAAAATCAAAGGCTTTCACTGCTCACTTCATAAATACCTTTAAACCCAACCCAATAGTAAACCATATGTTTAATGAGGACATTTTTAACAGCGTAAAGTAATCTGTATACTCCATGTGCGAACAAAATTAATTTCCCCCACAGAACTTATACACAAACTAAAAAGGCGCAAAAACAGAAAAGCGGCTGGACACGACTTAAGAACGACATACCTGATGCCCAATTTGGCTTTAGAGCAAATCACTCGATTGAACACCAAATTTTAAGTTACGGATTTCATTGCGAAGTGCTTTCATGAGAAAAAGTACGGCAGCTCTATTTTTAGATGTTATTAAAGCGTTTGACCAGGTCTGGTACACAGGACTGATACACAAATTTCGCCATCTAGGCATTCCCAAACGTCTTCATTCAACATCCCAAACATCAAAGAACATTCAACCTTGGCCGTACAGCTTATGCGCCATCCAGGATATTGTCACGCTTTGCAAAAGGTAGCTTAAGGACGCCATGAATTGCTGGTGATATGGTTATAAACATTATATGTGATAGTAATAACTCTATACATGTATTATCTACAACTGTGGTATTTATTGCTCAATGTTATATTTTTGTATTAAATGTAAATAGGAACTGTACATGAACTAAAACATAAGCTCAAGAAACTGTACTTGTCCCCTGCTGTCGTGCCCTGCTGTAACTGAAGGTGACCTATGTGCTTCATGTAATGTATATTTCGTAAATACGAGTAAAGGCTTGAAAGGTCGAATGGGTATTAAATTAAAAGTAAAACATTTATTTACACGGCGTGTTTTTTGTTGTTGTTGAAATTAGTAAAAAGGGGAAAACTGCCGGAAAGAAAAAGACTACTAAAGTGAATATCGAGATAAATATGCAAGGAAATAGCCGGTAAATATGCATGCTTTTGGACAATGCATAACTGAGCCGAACGAAATTGTGATTTTGAACCTTGACTTCCAATTGGCAGTATGATGTAGTTAAGTTATTCAAAGCTGCTAATCCAATACATAAATATGTTGGAAAATACATTAATTACACTGGAGAAATAAATAAGATAATGCAAGTTTGTCGAATTAGATAGACATGTATCAAATGCATTTTGAATTACTAAGTTACTTATTGTAACAATTTTGGGAAACTGCAATAATTCAATTAAATTAATTACGAATGCAATAATTAAAAATTATTAATAATTGAATATTTTTGGATATCGTTTTATATTTCTAGCCAAATTTAAAATGTATACATCGAGAACCGCGAAATGTATACATAGAGAAATACCAAGGAAAATATACGAAAAAATTAATTCAAGAAACTAGTGGAACTGTTTTATAAATTTGAAAATAAAGGCCAGTGATGTTACATAAAATACAGTAAACTTTTGTAAACACGAATTCCAAAGGACCGAATTAATCAATGTTCGTGTTATAAAAATCCGTCAAATCCGATTTATTTACACACATTCGCAAAATTCGTGTCACGCGAGTACGTACTAAAGAGGGTTAACTATATTTACTATCACGTTAATGACAAATCGTGTCACAACTACAATAAGTCATACATTAGGTTCATCTTAATGGTTTCATCGAAAATCTCTGAGACACTGCTTTAATCCGACCCGTTATTAACACATCAGGCACCAAAATCTCCTGTTAACATACAAACTACACATATCGTTTAACTCAAGAAGTAAACACAATAACGTTGCTACTGTGAAGGCGTCGGCTCCTCAGGTAACGCACATCTCCAAATGCACCGAATCTAAAGGCACAAATGGCAACTAGTGGCTGCGAATCAATGAAACCTGAGCGTTGAATACGTGAGATAAACGAACAAAGAGGGAATTCCGTGCAAATTACGCACCTGAGAGCACGAGGATCGGGTGTCCGAAGAGGTAAATACTCAGCCCTGTCGATTCTGCAGATACGGTTTGAAAGCTCACAGCGTGCTATCTGACTTGTGTCTCGCAGCAATTGCGAGACTTGTGTCTCGCAATCACATACCGGCAAGTAATTAACCGTGGGTTGTGTAATTGGAAAGGAAATAAATTGTGAACATCTATTTCTGATTCGCAGTTCCATGTGACTGCGACATGAGTAATATCAATGTCTCGTTACGATATGTATTATTTTTACGTACGTGGCATTATAATAACTCGTATAAATTGATTATAAGTTGAAACTTAAAATATATCTAATTATTTATTTTTTGACATTTATATCACCTCTCTCCTTTTCCCCTCTTTTTTGACTAAATAAATAAATCTAAATAAATCCCTCGCCCCTCGCAAATTAATAAAGCCACAAATTAGATATGAAACTTGAAAAATAAAATTTATATTAAACATAAACTAATTGATGCGTATGTACATGAATTAACAACTTTATGTCTACGTTTGTGCGGACATGTTCTAATTTCCGAATCGCGAGTGTACAAACACCAGATTACCCCTTGATTATTACCCCAGATTACCTCATTATTGAGAACTCTCGTTAAATCATCATCATCATCATCATCATCAACTGCAACAACAGGAGCAAAAATTTGACTTCCTTCGACTAATCATTGTGTCCATGTTGTAAAAGTGGTCCTTTCCAATGTCTTGAGCAGTCATCACTGTTTCGCTTTCGTAAACAACTTATTTATTCGTAAATTTTATCAATGATTACATACGGACTAACTTGCAAAATAGATACTTACAAACTTATCTAAATCTCCTTTGTCTTACATCCTAACCTATTTTGTACACCAGAACAATATTACCGAATTCTGTTCAGTACGTAAGTCAACATAAGTCGCCTTCCATTCTTTCCACACGAACGATACATTTTGGGCATTCCCCTTTAATTGGTAAAACGCATTGCACTGTGTCGGCTCCTCTGCCACTCCGCACGATGGGCACGCTCCTTCGCCGACTCGCGCGGTGGCGGGGAGGGGGGGGGGCGTCGCGAAGGAGGGCGCGGCATCGTCACCAAGCACCTGATGCCGGCGCGAGACAGCGCGCAGCAAGCCCCGGCGCGGGGGATGCGTAGATCCTTCCCTCCGGGACGCCGGGGGCCTTGTTGGGGATTGATGCACAGGGGCCGGGGGAGGGACGGTGTGTGGTGTTAAGGGTGGACTGAGACAATGCTGGACAACGAAGCGCGTCAGGGAGTGCTCGCGGATCGAAAAGCGAAATCAAATAGACCTACTACTAAATACACCACAGGGAGATAATGAAATATACGAGTACTACTATAAAATGTGTTGATGATTAGCATTTTCACAACGTACTAGGTCAGGAGTTACGAAACGTTCTGAGGAATTACGGAGATAAAAATTTGAAATATTCGAAAAAAAAATTGACTGATAATGCTGAGTATGTACTTTCGAACATTTGAAACTATCTGAACTAAATGAAAGAGACTTGATGGTTTTGAATATTTGCTAAAAGGAAGGGATATTACGTAAGTGAACACTTGGTATCTAAGTAAACCTGTTAATGAAACTAGTGTGATTTATTCAATATTTGTTTAGACATAAATTAATATAAGATATAGAAAACTGTGAATTGAGGGAATTTACGGAATAGAGATGCAAAAGTGAGCATAATATGAAAGGAGCAATATTAAATGAGTAACAGGAAAGTATAATCTTGCGAAACCATAAAATGCTATATGATCACACTATTAAGATAAGAGGTTTATTTGAGTCGATTACAAACTTTCTCTCCAGAGAACATGTTAAGTCTGCTGTACCAGATACATTTACCTATACACGTATGCATCTACATTTTTGTGAAAAACGACTTAAGAACTTATTTATTAAGAGCATTCTCAAATTCTGGATAAATATTTAAGAAGCAAGGAGACGGCACGTTGGCCAATCAAATGACATTAGTCAGTAGTTACATAGAACAGGTCGAAGCCTTGGAAAAGTTCCGAGTAACTTGAAGTTGTGGCGAGAGCAGGGTGAGAATACATGGAGCGTTAAATAAAACGACCCAGTGTGATGTGGAGTGAAACAGAGCATTGCGGAGAGGTGTGAGATTGTGGAAAGGTTGAGCAAGAGAAATAGGTGAGAATATTGGGCAACTGTGGAAGCAAAAACCTATCCGGCGTTAAATCGAAGTAACCAGTTCGTAATGCAGAAAAGGGGTTGCATTGTCGCTCAGTGTCCATTTAATCATATACAAAAAATACAAGAGAAGATGGTGACTAATATATACCGAGCTCTGCACCACGACGGTTTTATTCGGAGAACAAACGCACGGCTTCATTCACTGAGGATATTTTCACCATTTCACTTACGGTTGTTCTTTAGTGAAACTGACGATAAAATATTTGATCGAAAATGGACTTTATTTTTGACACATAATATATTTAATATTTTGAGTGATACCTAGGACTCAGAACCATTTGAATTGAATACTGTAGACAAGCGACGTACTCGTATTTCTTGCGTGTATGCACAAAAATTGTATTTTCACGAGCCCTTCTTAATAGCAAAATTATATTGAATTTTTAACACATATGGAGCCTCTGTTACCATTTGCATTAGATTTGGGCAATTTTTTGTATTATACTTTTTACATACATTTTAATTGCAGATGTTTACCACAATAAAAACGTAAACAATCTACTTTTATCAACATTTCACAGATTACTCTACACGTGAAATACTCTGAACGCCTGACGTTTGCTAGAGCGATTTTTTTTTTTTTGATTCGCCACACAAAATCAAATGTCGTGGGCGAAAAACAGTTTCAATTAAAAGTGCTCGTTCAGCATGTCCGTGCATACCTCGAAGTTAAAATCCTACTTCCACATTGCTTAAATCAAACGTCTCTCGCATAGTACATCACACACAGATTTTACCTGTTGCTTAACGTTATAAAAGAAATAAAATTCTTTCTCCGACCAGACGGCAATCACGGCAGACCGTCGCTTGAGGTCCGAGGGCCACGGTTTGCTCATCCCTGGCCCGGGGCGAAGTGAAGCGCGGCGGTGCGACTGGAGCGAGGCGCCGTGCGTCGTGGCGTAGCGTGGCGTGGCGCGGCGCGACGCAGCCCGACGTACGGCAATGGAATGGCGGAGGGGGAGTGGGTGTTCCGTCGCCTCGGGCGGCGCGTCGGCAATCCGCGTGTGCGCTCCCGACGGGGTGGGCCCGCAGCGCCCCGGCTCCCGTTACCGCGCGACAAATCCCCGGAGCCAGCTAACGTTACAGTCGCTGCTAATATCGCACTTCTAATGCATGCAGATTACATTAAAATCCAGCGCAATGTCACTCCGTGTTACATTCAATAATCGGCAGACGAAAGGTTGAATCGTGTGCTCTCTCGGCTGCGTCCTAACGTGCCTGATGTATTGATTAAACGAAGTCGATACGTATCCCGGCAATCATTACGGCGCCCACGAAATGATTCATCGAACCCAACAAACGAGCGGGGCCTGCTCGGCGCGCACCAAGGGCTATTCTGTGCGCAACGCATCGCATCGCATCGCCCTCCTCAGTGAAGGGGACCGAGCGGCGCGACTCCGCCCCGCACGCCTCTGCCGCTCGTTCCGCGCCGCCTCGCCGACGAGCGCCGTCAAACAGTCACCGGAGACGTCGCCCTGGAAACGCAAGTAAATCCGAAGAGGTGTCTAAATATACGCAATGTACGACCGCACGACGCCTTTAACGAGGCCAGGAGTCAACCGCCGCGCGCGACAGGAAAAGAAATAAATCCAACGATAAGTGTGTTCGGAGGGAAGTATAGAACGGGGAAAGTCCCTCGGAAGATTGCAACCCGGGAGTGAGATAGCGAACTTGATAGGTTCGAGGTGAACAAATAAAAGAAGAGACGGATCGTATCCGGGGGTCGGAATAAAAGGAAGGCAACGAGAATGGAAGATGAGATCGACAAAAAGATAAACCGCATGATGTACAAAAATGCGACACAAGGAGAAGGAAAAGAAGAAAAGGGAGTTTTTTTTAAAAAACATATAACTCAAAACGACTCCAAAGAACCCAAGAGAGGAGGATTCCTGATAATCTTTATGGCTTCAAGGAAGTGCTACGGTCCGTCGAACTTCTGGCCAGCGGAACCTTCAACAGACACGAAAGCAATTTGGTAGGGTGGAACGCTGTGATTTCTTGAAATGGAAGATGACTACGTATTTAAGACTGTCTGTTGGATCCCGACAAACACTCGAATCCAATGCTGTTTCCCCCTTGTTACAAGTTCGAACAACAGTAGGGATTGATATGAAATTCTCCAACGCTCTTTTGTAACATGTATTTTATTCTCTAATCAGGTAATATTCAGTCACAACTTGATATAATAAATGACTTGACAAATGTAAAGGGAAAATGGCACATACATTTGAGACGCATCCAGAAAGAAAGGTTTCCCTAGATAGTAAAAAATATAATAATAAAAAATTTAAAAAACACAATTCAAACATAATTCTACAAAATCTTTTTTGTAGTATATACAGCACAAGTTGCAATATTTCCCCACATAATCATTGCCAGAATTACCAGAGACATCTTACAGTATGTTTAACTTTTAAATCCATGTATCGTATATGTCGGCCGCTTGGGAAAGGTACCAGTGTTTACTGGCCAGCTCTAACTCTGTGTCACTGTGATACGCGTAACGTATAAAAAATATGGCAATAGCTGGAGGGGGAGCGACAGCTGGACTAAACGGTGGATAGTTATACGTTCGGCCACACACGGCTCACCGATCTTCTATAGCAGCTACGCTGTGAGGTAGTTGACCTAGGTCAACTACCACACAGCGCAGTCTTTTTAGACCCCGGGATTCAAATGCTGATTCCACGTTATGACATATTATTCAATTTTTAGTCATTTTGTAGACGACCTCGAGACTCCGTACGTTTCGGATGCCTGGTACGTTATCTTGCACAATTACAAGATGATTAATTAGTTCATGATATTACGTTTTCCATCATCGACATTTGCGACATACTCGATAACATGTATACATATTCAATTTCCGTTTTCTGAATGATCGTGATATACAGCGAAACTTAAATGGCAGTGAATACACTGTTAAATAAAATTATTAGAACACAAATATCTGGGACGAAATCCTCAGGCAAATTACGGGAGCTTTTCTCAAGAAAACCTTTGCACCAATGGAACTTCATGTCAAAAATGAAGTATGAAATAGCCCTAGTGTATTTAAGGTGTACGAAACTAATTTATAAGCCGAAGCACCGAACTCTATGTCCGAAAAGGCCAACGAGTTCCGACAGGAAACGTCTGTTCGACAGGAGCATCAAAGTCCGTATCAGTTACAGAACAGATGACGCTAATGCCTGGCGCGAATCTCTCATGTATGTGCATGTGCTGTCATCATCATTATCATTCCATTATCTGGCACAAGCTGCGTGGGCGTAGAGCACGTCCGCGGCCGTCTCGCCACCTCATCGTTTATGTATCATATAGCGCCTATCTAATTTCCTCACGTCTACGCCACCATAATTGGGAATAGAGACACTTTGTCGAGGCCAGGAGCTTCGGTACGGGCGCCTTAAAAAACGGAATCGCTTCCAAGAGCGATTTAAGAAAAGTAAGCTACAAAGCGGGATAAGCTTGAATAAATGATTAGGGCTACGCGAAACTCCGTCTTCTGTGTTAAAAAGAGCTTGGAGAGACGCCATCCGTGGGGCGAAAAGTGTTAAAGAAGGAAGCCAAGAAAAGGAAGCACGCAAGCAAGGAAGAAACGAAGAAAAACGGGACAACCCTGCCGAATACCCGGTTTATAGAAGCTGTTCCTAGAGTTTCACGACGACAACAACGTACGCGCTTTATTCTCGCCACGATATTTAAAAGTCCTCATAGGGTTTGCAATACTTCGACCGCAAACTTCTACTACTGGCGTGAAAGCGCTGCTGTATGTCCGTTCGGAATGAACGTACGCAAAACAGGAAGCAGATGCCTGCAGATGTCGTGCCACACCGGCAGAAGCAGCTAATATGCCAGAAGCGGCGAAATTGGTGAGATGGCATCGACAGCGGAGGCCACGTCCAAGGAGCCAATTGGACGACGGAGGTGGACGTCAGATCCTTCAAGATGTTTCAAATCTACTGAAGCCGAGGTCTTCCTTTTTCATTTTAGCAATTCTTCAAATGAAATAAAATGTGCACGTTAAATGAATAATTATCTGTTTATTAAATTATTATTTCCATTTTTTTAATGGTTAGTTTCTTTTATTATTGGTTATCTTCTCTGCACATTAGCTGCATTCTTCGTGCCTCTAACTCGCGGTTTATCTCCAGGTGAACCGATGTCCTTTGGTTATTTGTTACCTTTCTTTGAGTCATTTCAATGTGCTATTTCTGTGGATTATTTTACCCGTTTATTTATTAATTTAAATCAAAAATTCCAGATTTGGATCTTATTACCTTATATTATTATTCCCTCTACCTTTCTCAAGAAAGAATTCGTGCTGATAGTAAAAATTACTTTTTCAGGACTTCTCCATAGTTTTAGCATTTAGAAGGCAATAATTTGCTAATATAATAGTATTATATCATTCTACATTCAGGCCGATTCATGATTCCCTGTTTATTACTTTCTTCATTCTTATTAATTCTGGCACAAGTACGAGCATCACCTATACTGAAAATAATCACCATAGCTTTTCGAGGATTCTTCCAACGTAATTTCTGAAGTTAATAACAACGTCTAAAAATAAGTCAGTGAAACATACATTTCAACGGAGTCCACTTAGCGGTAGGATACGGAGAATGTCAACCACGCACTATCAGAATCGGCCCATCGGAACCAACTGAGAAGGAAGCAGGCTTCGTCGGCGTCGACGCGGGAAAGGACAGAGAGGATGGGGGCCGTCGTAGAGCGCAGCCGGAGAACGAGGCGCTGCAGACAGGGGATTAACCTCGCACAGATAGAAACGGCCCGGAGATTATGCGAGTTAAAGGGGTGGGGCAGTGGCAGGGGGCGCAGCGTGGAGCCGGAAGGGAGAGTGGATGGGAGGGCGTGCGGGGGTGGACCGCCGCCTACCCGCACCGGGGTGCGAGAGCGAGAAGCAGAAATCACAAGCTACTCACGCTTTTGTTTCGGCTTGTCATCACATCAAGGGTGCCGGCGAATAACTTTGAAAAGCCGATGCGACAACTTTGTTTACAAACACAAAGTGCAGCGCGGAATCCGGACGAGAAGTGAAAGCGAGACAGCGCGCGCCGCACGTGCGTCCGGACAGGAGGTCGAAAGAGACGGGAAGTTATCAAGCAGAAGTGAAATGAGGGAACCGACAGATGGAGGGGAGAAGGGCGAGCAGGGGAGGGTGGGGAGGGCAAGGGCAGACGGGCAAAGCTAGAGCGGAACTGAGGGACGAAGAGGAACGCAGAAAGGGATGACTGGAGCACCCGAGTTCAATTAGCGGTCCAGGCGAACCATGAAAATCGTTCTATAACAGGACAAGCTAAAACTCAACTCAGTGCAATGTACCACCGGTGCACGTAGTACTCCGCTGGCAGCGCGCTGAGATCGGATGGCTTGCGCTCGTGAGAGCTGCTCCCAGGGCGGCAATGGCAACGGCGACGGAAGCAGCAGAGACGGCTGAGGCAGTGGGGGTGGAGGGTGCCGCGAGGGCCGGCAAGCGGGAGATGGGCGCGTGTTTCCCCACGGAACCAAGATCCGAGCAGCACGTAATTTAGAGGGAATATCTATCACGAAGCGGAAATTAATACGATACGGAAATAGAAATCACGAGCAGAATTCCTGAAGAAGGAAGCGTATTAAACAACCACGTGAAGACCGAGATCAGATCATTTAATTTAGCGTACCCGAGGCACGGAGGCCGGTGAGGCTCACCGAGTTAAATGGTTGGAAAGGTGCGCGTACAGTCTCGAGTTCGGAATGTTACGAAAGCAAATTTTTATGTTCCAAAAAGCGAAGCAAATTCTAATTTCTAAATTCTAAGGCATGTTCGTATTAT